TAGAACAGGCGTGGACGCAGGGGAGATGCTAAAGGGGGGAAAGGCATGTGATTCCTTGTGTTGCTTTGATTTTCTGCAATGATTAAGAAATGAGCCCCCTACAGAAACCTCGCTATATCACATTTAGTCACAGTGGGGCTGTGCTGAGCTGATAGAGCCAAGTCCTGCCTTGTTATGCTTTTGTAAGTTAGCTAACAGACTAGGCTGTGATCCTTTTGTGTTGTGACACCAGGCTAGAGGACCAAAAGATGTCAAATCAAAGCATATTATGGTTTTTGGCCCACTGTGCTTCACACTAGAAAGGCCCGGGCTGTTTATTTGATCTACGGTCAAGCAGTATTAACAGGCGACACATCTGTCCAGCAGCTGCACGGCTTTAATGTCTGCGTCCACTGTCAGACCCCTGAGCGAAATGTCAAAGGGATCTTGTGCCACAGTTGTGTCTTTAATTAAAAGAAGCAGCGCTCACACTGCAGTAGCTGCGTGGCTCTGTGGATCGAAATGTTGGTCGATGGCTTCCGCCACTTTGATCCAGACTGAAATATCCCAACTTACTATTTTATGGGTTGCCGTGAAATTTTGTGCAGACATTCATGATCCCCAGAGGATGAATCCTTACAACTTCTGTGATCCCCTGACGTTTTCCTTTTAGTGCCGCCACACAAAACTGTGGTTTCTGACCGAATTTTGCAAAATTGCTTCCCATCTTCCTCAGCTGTAGTTTGTGTTTTGTGCTAATTAGCAAATGTTAACATGCTACGGGCTAAACTAAGATGGTGAACATGGTTAACATTCGTTATACCTGCTAAACGTCACGTCATTATGAGCATGTTTGCATTCAGCTCAAAGCACCGCTATGGCTAGGTACAGCCGCACAGGAGCAGCTAGCATAGCATGTGTGTGTCATCATGTTCAATTTTCATTATTTCCAAATCAGTTTACTCAGTCAGTATTACATGAAGGCGCACTGTCGGGTAGCGTATCGCCGCCTTCTGCTGTTTCACATCCGGCCTCAGTCCCTCCTTAAGTCATCGTCATCCTCCTCATATCACTTTGAAGGCATGAGTGTGAAAAAAGAGTTTTGATGGTGTTTACCGTCTCGGTGGAGGAATTCATCAGCCGTGAAATTGTCGATCAGTGCACTGGTGGAGAGGAACAGACTCTCACACTTCTGGGCATCAACACCCTGCATCCCATTGTTCTGGCACATGGGAGAGATAGTCACAAATGTAATTATCATCCTCTGTTGTAGAATTCAAAAAATGCAGGCAAATTAGGCCACAACATGAGTCCATTACAGAGCTCCTAGTAGCTTGTTTTTTTTTTCTGTAAATATTTTTTAATAAGCATTACTACAGTTGGCCCTTTAATGAGTACAGTGGGCCCTGTAGGTCTATAAACTGTTCTCCAGTTCAGTGATGTACACGTCTGATCTCCAGGGGGTTGGTTTCTCTTTGGCAAGGTAATGTTTATTCATAATAATCCATAAATAGCTTCTCCTCAGTAAGTCCGTAACCTGAACATGAGTTACTTAGAATACAGCGTGAATAGAAATGTGTTGAGCAGGGCTGCAGTCAGTACAGTATCTCGTGTCTGAGAGAGTCTCTGGTATTTCCTCAGGAAACCGCTCCACCATCAGTCCTCTTTACCCCCCAGCCGCACAGCTTCTATATACCCCCACTGTCCTCGTCTCTTATTTCTCTTTCAAGGTCTGCTCTTCCTCGTTTCTCCTCCTCTTCCTCCCCAACCGTCCCTCTCTGTCCTTGAATGCACCCTCTCCCTTCTTTCTTTTTTTTCCTCCCTCTTCTTTCTCATTTTTCTGCTTCAAACCTCCGTTAAGGATCTCTTCTTGTTGCGCAAATACACCCTCCTCTTGCTCACTTCACACACTGCACAGTAGTCTTCCTCCACCTCTTTCTCCCCCTTTCCCCCCCCCCAAATTCTCCTCCTACTCCTTTCTCCTTGTCCTCCTCCTCCTCTTCATCTGCCTATTGCGCTCTCTCTCATGCTTTATCCTCTTCCTCTTACCAGATACGCTGCATTAATTCTCTGTCTAAACCCCTGATAGAGCGTTCAGGAAATCAGTTCATTTGGAGTAAGAGGAAATTAGCCATAGCAGCAGATTATTAGGCTGGATGTAAACATAATCAGTTAGGCTGCTATTCCCAGTGAATCTGATTCAGGTCTTAATGGGATTATTACGGGGACTTTCGATACTGCACATAGATGTGAAGTGCTTGTGTAGGGGGAGCATCAACAGAGACTCTGCTAGAACTGAACATTAAAGTGCTCTCTCCATCATGGAAAGTACAAACTATTGAAAGCGGCTGGCTAACAATTTTGGCAGACTTCAGCAGAATGTCAGCACTGATCCAACCAGGAAGTGGACTCTATTAGTTATTAGGAGGGAAGGAGTTGCTAAAGAAGAAGATAAATAAGTGTGTAAGGGAGTTTGAAGTAATGGTGTTAAAAGGTTCTTACATGGCACAAAATAAATCACAGCAGAGCAGTGCCCAGGAGGAGAGAGCAGAGCCAAGTAAAGCAGAGCAGAGCGGTGACGCTGGGAATGAAATAAAAAAAAACAAAGCCGACACACAGTAGTTGTCACTTGACATTGTGCAGACTCACAGCACGCTGACAGTACAGTCACAGTCACAAACACAGCATCAGTACACCAACAACCTTTCAACCTTTCTGCCTATCTGGGTGACTTCGAAGCCTGGACACGTTAGAGACACAGACAGAGGAAGCAAAGGTGTGAAAGAGGAACAAACTTAAATGCTAACATGCTCACAATCACAATGTTGTGACGGTGACTTTTAGGTATAATGTTTACCATGTTTACAATCCTAGTTTAGTATGTTAGCATGCCAACATTTACTAATTAGCACTTAACATATGGTGAGAATGTAATTAGGTTTGCAGGTATTTGGTCATAAATAAATAGAAAAATAAAGCGTAAATACTGGATAAAGACATTTTTATGACAGAAATAGAATAAATGTTCAACCACTGTGGTTCCAGCTTCTTGCAGCATTTCTTTCTTTTATATTATTGTAAATAATGAATGTTCTTCTTTCTTTGAGTCTTAGTTGTTAGTTTTATAGACCAAACAACAAATTGATAAATTTAGTAAATATTCGGTAGATGTAACAATAAGGAAACAATATCACTAGTTGCAGACCTAGTTAAGATATTTCAGTGTATACAAAAATGACAAACCAACTAGAACCCTGTTGCTAGCTTGTTAGCAAAAATAAAGCGAGCAATGAAAACACAACCTGGCATGGTTTTGCTGTTGGACAGAAGACAGCATATCCTACTTCTAATCTTATTTCCACTACAGGTTTAACCAGAATCTACTAATTGGCTTGGTTTGCACCATATGGGCTAAGATATTTAGTCTGGCTCTAGACCCAGAGAGTTCAATGTAATGCATACTGAAAAAGAAAGGAATGCATATTATAATTCGGCAAGTTTAAATCTGTTTTACTCATTCATTGAAATCTCCAACTGCTTATAAATTTTAATGTTAAGGGATTTCATCTGTCTCACAACACCTGTTCCACTGTTTTTTGCTTTTCCCCAATCTTATGTTGTGGAGTTTTTAGATGAAACTAAATGTCAGCGCACAGAGAGAGACAAGAAAAGTGATATTTGAAAACAGATCTTGAGAAATGCACGTTAATACATTTGGGAAAGATGAGCCTGAAAGAGAGAAGCAGTGAGGCAAAGAAGAAAGAAAGTCAGATGCAGAGAAAAAGGACAAAAAAGTTGAGGGACAAGAAAAAGTCAAACAGATGTGAGAGAAGAGGACACTTATGGTGAAGAGTGAGTGAAACCTGGCACAAAGAAAAAAACGATGGAAGTCGGTGCAACCTCTTGTGTTGTTAAAAGTTGAAGTGCCTGTCTGGTTCTCATCCCGTCACCATGACAACACTGCCAGCTAGAAAAAGTAGAGAGAGTGAGAGGGAAAAAAAAGGGTTGAGATAAAACGGGAGAGAGGTTTGTAAAAGTAAAGGCAGAAAGAGGTTAGAGTCAGAGTCGCACAAGTGGAGGGGAGTATATGAGCTCAGCAGAGGGCACACAAGCTTTGAGAAATTGTGGATCTACTTTGTGAGAACGTGTGTGTGTGTGTGTGTGTGTGCGTGTGTGAGTGATACACTGTTGAACATGTGTATTTGTGTGTGTGACAAAGAGATAAGTTGTGTCTGTCAGCCTTGTTGTTGTGGAATCAGTCTATCCACAGCGAGAAAGGCTTATCTGTGTCTCTGTTACTGTGTGTGTGTGTGTGTGTGTGTGTGTGTAACAGGTACAGAGGGCAGCTTTACTGCCATCATAAAAGGCCTTTATTTTGTCAGGCCAAGATTGAACAGGCAGATAAAAACTCTTTCACACACCTCATTTAAAAGATACGGACACAGAACAGACCTTTGACAAGTCAAAGTCTGTTTATGTGGGATCAAAATCACGAGCTAGTAATTTCTGGATATTCATAACAGCAGCAGAAGTAAGTCAGAGGAGAGGAATGAGGGTTATACTCCATGTTAAAATCATCCAAAAGTCACCCAGTTGTTTGTTCATGTTTAGCTAACATACGTTTAAGTCTTTTTACAGTGTAGTCTAACTATTTGTGTAAGAAATGACGCTCTATTATCCAGCGTTCTCTCTCTAAAAAGTGTACACCTGGGCCCTATTTTTACACAGCAGAGGCTCGCCACTCTTGGGAGTATTTCTTCTGAATATTTGTGCATCCGTTTTAGTCCTCACGTAGCCCAGAGGTCCAAACCTAATCTTTAAAATCACAGCTGTGTAGCACCAAAACTATCTCCCTTGTGTTAGCAGACAAACAGGCTTTTGTGTACTGTACTGCTTCATGAGTGTATGAAATCCACGAGACAGCAAAATATCACTTGTTTTTTGTTGAATTTCTTTTTGTGTGTGTGTGTATTTGTGTCTTTTATTTATTTAATGTGTTGATGTTTGTGCTTACGTTGCAGATTTGGTTCAGAACCCACTCCATGCCAAACGCTCAAGTATGTGTCCCTCCTCATATCACATGTCTACAATCAGAGTCAGGAAGGCTCATTTAAAACCTAATCTACATCTGATTACAGGCTAGATTGCATTCTGTAACGTAATCCCTCAGAACAATCACATTTGGGATGATTAATGATTACATTCGGCAACCTCTGGGTTACCGCGATTATATTTATTACAAAAGATGTGTTCAGAGATCACCTGGACCGTATGTAATCACAGTATTATTTTTCCCAGAAACCACGAATAATCATTAATCAGTTGTTATTCTTATTGAGGTAATTCTATCGCCGCTGATGTGTCATCTAGCAGCCTTTTCTAATCTGCCAGCATTTCCTTTCAGCTGATATAATTTGAATGTGTAATTCTATAATCATTTGCCTCATCAGTTTAAATTCAGTTACCCTAAATGATCCAAGCTAAAGCCATCTTGGTTGAAGGAAGCAGGACAGGAAGTGATTAAGGGGACCGTTTTATGGCCTTGTGTTAGTAAGCTTCTCCTCACAGCTGTAGTTTCAATGAGCAAGGCAGTCTCTAAGGTCGTCCTTCAGTAGCTGATCAAATGCAAGGATTTCGTTACAGACATCAATACAGTATCAAATTATTTCTATTTCAGTTAGAAACTATATCCACAGCCCTATATGTTTTGAATGCCACATTGCTGGTATTTGCCTTTCACATGTTTTGGTATTTGCATGCAATGATTTTAACACAGGCATTTCTCTGTTAATGCTGTAATAACTTCCTCCACCGCACAGTGAGTTCAGTCTAACTGAAGTGTAAATCATGCAAACAGGGTTGAGGCCTTTAGCTACTGTTTGACATGTAATGGGTTCAGCATGTGCACATACTGCTGTGATCTCATCCTTAAGGGACACTTAAGAAGACGATGGACATTCGGTGGACCTGTTTTAAATAATCAAACCTGTGTTCACTACAGTGTGTTTATTTTAAAATGAAAGCTACACTTATCTTGACGGCATTCACAGATATGGAACAAAGAGACTCTACAACCACACTTTTGTGTGATTGCATCTTGATGTTTGTTTTTAATATTTCCTACAGTGGACCTCACTGGAGAGCAGAGAGCAACATCAAAATATTTGCTAAAAGAAAATTGTTCTGTGTGATCATCAGCTGATCACACAATCATAAATAATGAGCCGCACATAGACTGTAATTAGTTCTTTTTTTTTTTTTACTTTGAGAGATGCATGCTGGGTCCACATCGCCAATTGCAGAAGTTTGTGTCTGTGCGTGTAACAGTGTGTCAACCATACAGGGTCACATAGACGCCTGGCATTAACATGCAATCTGTATCTGGATATCCGATCTTTATAAGGAAAACCACATGTTAATGCCGGTCTACATGCATGTAAAACGCGTTATAATATGAATGGGATCAGATCGGCCAGACAACATCTGGTCAGGCTCGCATTGTGATCAGATCTCAGCAGCGTGACCACATTCTTAAGAAAAAAATCACCTTAAAGTAACCTAAGGCCTAACTTTGTTAGTTTGCATATTTACATCCGATTACAATGTAGGCAGAATCAAGATAACGTGAATGCCGGATTAATGCAAAGAATTTTATTGGATTGTTTGTCATTATCCAGGCAATGTATCCAGATACATGTTGATACCAGTTGTAAATGGTGCCATAATTTAAATGATCTCCAGTTTCAGTTAACTCAGCTTGATTATAATGGCCATCAGCCTTTGGGGGTCCACATACTAGTGTGTACTGTTTGCTAAGAAATATGTGGAATAAATTCAGTCCACTGAAGTCCTGAGGGCAAAAATACCTGATCAAACAGCGGTCAGAGGTGTGAGTCACTCAAACTGACAGGGTGACTGCAGGTAATCAAATCGCATCTCAGTACAACAGCAGCTGGGCTTCTCAGAGAGCACAGCTCAATAAAACATGAGTTAGAGGTACAACAACAGAACATCATGTTAGGTTCAAATCAATTTAACGAAAAATAAGGCTGAGGCTGATGTGAGAGCATAGTGGGACCATAATTGGGTGAGTAATGCGCACATATGTCGGCTGGTATGACGAATGCTGGTTTCTGTTTGGCAGGCTGTTTGGCATAAATAACACATATTTGTGGGTACATAATGCATGTGTCAACGGTACAAGCTGGTAATGATGGTGAAATGCTGCGGTGACATGCATGTGACTGTAATTTATTCTCCTGGCTTCTATAGTATATCTCAACCCCACCTGGAGGATAAAAGGGGGTGTATAAAATGTCCACAGCATGGATATACAAACAATCAATCATCAGTGACAGACACCTTTGTAGCAATACATCAAGGACTGAGACCCCTGCAGAGCATTTATACACCTCATTGAATTCATACCTAGTAGCTTACAGGTGCATTTGCCAAACAGTCAATGATACTGTGTCTTAAAGGTGCCCTGTGGACATTGCTCTTAAAGAAATGGATAAACAAAACTGGGTCGCACAAATAAATAAAAAAGAACTTCTCCATAGTGGTACAAGTGGTTAAAAACTCCTCAGGGCACCTTTGAAAAATGTATTTAAGATAATTTAACATAAACTGTAACAGGTTGGTAAGAAAACTACTACAGAATAGAAAAAATGACACATTAGGGGCCAATCAGACAGAGACACATTGCTACAGTCGCCGGCGATTCAAATAATGTTCGAAACATGCATCTCTAGAGCAGGGATGTGTGTGCAACCGGGCAATCCAATATGATCAATGGGATTCAAGCTGACAGCGAGCTATTGCCGTTGCTTTCTCTCAAAGACAAGTAGAGCCTGACAGATTTATCGGCGGGCCGATATTAGGCATTTTCCAAACTATCTGTATCGGCATTTATAATGGACGATGAATAAATATTTTGAGGTGTCAAACTTACGGCCTCTAGAGGGTTCATTCCGGCCCGCGGAATGTGTGAAAATTACAGAGAAGACAGAGTATTGAACATAGCACCAATGCTTTATTAAACTTTATTCACCGACAACTGTAACTCACACTGTACATTTTACTGCTAGACCTGATAACTTACTGCTCTGCTGCCGTTCACCGCCGCTCGCACGCTCGCTTACGCTCTCTCTCTCTTGCTCTACCACACACACGTTACGCTGCTCTATTCCTCTTATAACATTCATTAGTCAAAATGACTTTGTCAAAAAGGAGACTAAACTTAGCAAACTAAACAGTGATTAAACCTACTTCATGTAAAATGCTGCTTCAGACACTTTTGCTCTGTGAAAATGTATGTAGGTAAATTTAAAATATCTTGACAAGTTGTTTTAATTATTATTAACTGTAAGAGAAAGTTACCTGATATTATGTTTCAGTTCCAGGATAACATGTTACTTAATGTTCTGTTGGCTTGTGAGATCCACAGTCCACTGATCTTTAAATTGTTAGCCTAATGCACATGTGTATAAATGAAATTATATATTATATATTGTTGAAATTGCTTACTTATTATTACTAAAATTCACGGTTGTTTCAGTAATGTTTTGTGAAAAGAAAGTTGCTAAATGTGATCATTTTCAGAATGTAACAATTAGGGGTTTTTGCTATTTATAGTTAATTATGCCTAATTTACTGGTCCCGGCCCGCACTTCAGGGTCAAAAAAAAAAATTGGGTTGTATGTGGCCGCCTGAAACCCAATAAATGAGTTTTGACACTCCTTGGTATATAGTCTTTTACTATAGTTTATATTTTGCTGTTGTTATTTATCAGAACTTATAGAACTTAACAGAATATTTTTTTTCCAGTCTTGTTCAAAGTTATATTTATGAAGCTTACCAAGTCTATTAATACTCGTAACTTTGATTTTTTTTTTTTTATTATTATTGTTTTTTGTTCAAAGGACTTTGAGTTTCATTGTATTTTTATACATTTTATTTATCAGAACTTTAATATATTTTGATGTTCTTCTGTTTATTTTTAAACTGCATTATCCTATTATTTTAGTGAGGACTCATAAATAACTACAAATAACTAATGTTAGGGAAATCTGTTTATGTTTTGTACGCAGTTCTGGAATTTCTTTTTTAAATATATATACGCCGATATATCGGACTATCGGATTTTTAAATCGTCAAATATTTGTATCGGTATCGGCCTTAAAAATCCTTTATCGGTCGGGCTCTAAAGACAAGTGACTTACATGAAACTATCACGACATGAGCTATGAAATCTCCCATTCCCTCTGAAATACTCTCACATCTACCAGCATCAAAACAGGAATGAGTGGTAAAGTAGTAAAGCCCACCTATGGCCTGATTTAATTGGCTGCCTGGGTGAAGTGTGACATTGACAGGTGCTGAAAACATGAGAATGTGTCACCTTCTCCGTGTCATAGAAAACCGACAGAAAAACCGAGACACGCCGTGTGAGAGAGGACGTACCATAGAAAAACAACGGTTTTGCTGGCGAGGCTTTTGTAGCGACGCATTTCAGTGTGATCATCCGCTTACGCTTTATGGATGCAAATCTGACCTCAGCAAACCTCGTTCGCTGTCTCACTCCTACTGTATGTCCTGTCTCTGTCTGTGTTGCATAACAGTAGCACCACTGTGCTTTCAAATATAAACACACCGATGGGCCCAGTGGGATTGTGCAATGTGGAATATCATCTTGGGGATTTTACTTTCAGCCTTTAGTAATCAGATGTTGAGGGGGTTATAGTGTGCTTTTGAACCACTGCCGACTGGATGGTTGAGTGATTTTCTATTACTCTCTTTCTGAATGGCTTAGTGCAGGCTGTCTATCTTATAGCCTCCCTGCCTAGCTATCTTTCTACATGAATTATTGACTTTCTGCCCATCTTGCTATATATTTTTTTTTTCTAACTGGCTTTATGTCTGTCTGACTGCTCTGCTATCTCACAGTTTTTTAGTCTGCCATTTTGTCTGTAGCAAAAGCAGAACCAACAGTGTGGTAAAACCTTTGCTTGTTAAATTAATTCTCTTTTCAATCACTCCAGGAGGTAGATTAAATTCAAAATGCATGCACTGAAGAGTCGAGAGATGGTTGTTTACCTCCTCTGTTGTTATCAACTCTGTCACATCTTGTCTATTGTGGTCACATCCAATCTATTGTTGCTGGATTCTATGACGAGTGACTGTAGAGTCATTTATTATTGTCAGATTAATAGTTATTTTCATTTCGAACATACTGGAGTAAGAATGAAATCAGCCCTGGTATCATGTAATAAAACACAAAGGATTTAACATTGGATGTTTTTTAATATCACTGTAGTTAAGGTTAAGATTTTGAATGTGTCATTCATGTCACATACAGTGGAACAGACACTAGTGGCATAAACACAGTGGGAAATCCACAGTTTGATGATAAGTTTCAAATTCAAAACGTATTTTGTTGTTTAGCTATTGGAAATTGAACATTGAAGATGCACCCAAAATTGCCCTTTGCAGCAAGTGTGTGCAAGCAAGTGGGCACCAGTACTTACATAGCACAAGGTAGTATAAATACGATTTGGAGTTTAATATCAACACTGTCTGCAAACTGTCATATACCACAATGATTCATAGTTCCAGAAACCTGTAATAATGTGTGACTTAAACCAAAATAAACCAAAGTACTGAAATTGTTTGATCAGTATTCATATAGACTGTTACATAGAGACATTTCCCAGAGGGATGTTACTTAATTTACTTTAAAGCTGCGCTAATCAATATTTTTATATTAACAATGGAAAGAATAATGTGTAATGTGATATAAGGGAGCAATTTCGTACAAAAGTTTGTACATCCATGTGCTTTATGTTTGTGAGTGATAATGTTTTCTTGAATGAATATAATAATGTATATAATGCACCTTTATTTTATGCTTCCTCTACCCAGGTGGGCGTCGCCGGTCTGAGCCCGACGAGGCGGAGCTACTGAGGGTCAGCAGGCGACTGGTCGAGGATGCTGTCAATCGCGCCTTGCAACAGTACAAACAGGAAACACTTCAAAATGGGGGTGGGCCTAATGCCTCGGCAGTGCAGCCCCCTGGGAGCGCTGAGGAAACTGCAACAAAGACGGACACTACAGCTAACTCCACTACAGACAACAGGAAGTGACATCATCGGACTGAGGTACAGAGACTGCCGCCCAGAAAACATCAGCCAGGCCTGGCTAACCAGGAGAAGAGTCAGTAAGCCCTGGGCGCAAAGCCTGAACCAGCCAAACAGTCAGCCCAGTTTGCTGACTAGCTAACCCAGCTAGCCACCCACAACGGCTAGCCAGTCAAGCTAGCTACCCGCCACTACTGCCCAACTGACCTAGCTAGACACAGTGCTAGTTAAATAGATAATGTAGCTTGAGTTCAGTGCTAGGTTGACAGTCCCAGTTGGCCAGCTAGCTAAGCCTGTTAGTTAACTCTGGTGTCCTACATCTAACAGCAAGGACATCGACCGTCACTCAGCTGTGGGTCTGTGTGAAACACTGCTCCAGAGACACACATGCACATGTAGGTTTCACTTTGACCTGTCACTCACAAACTGCCCTTTTAGAATAAGATAAATCATGTTTTGTAGACAATTTGGTTCACCATCACCTGCATTTAAAATAGGACTCAATATCCTTAATTTCACTAAGAAAAAACTCTTTAACTTCGTTGTTTCAGGTGAAGAAAATAGTCTACTTTTCTTCTCGCATACGTTCCTCTTGAAAAATCAGTGCTGTCTCCATTGACAAAAGATTACTCATCTGCTCATCTTTGTGGCTGAAGAGGATATTATGTGAAAATAGCTGGTCTGACTGACGCAGTCTGAGTTGTGACTGGATTCTTCAAACTTAAGTGTGAAAAACAGTATGTTGGACTTTGTCTGTACAAGTTTTTGTCTGTGTATTATGCAGCATGTCTGGGTTCAAAGCACTTTCAATTCAATTCAGCTTCAGGAAATGGATCTTTTTAAAACTTCCAGCCTTTCATTTCACTTTTTACATAAGATAGCAAACTACATTTTTGTCTTTTCTCTAAGTTGTGTATGGAAAGTGGTCTGGCCCCAGCTATGCTTTAAGTATTACTGTTGTATTAACCAAGTGTGTCCTGCCGATACAGCACTGAGACAATCATCGATTTAAATTCAGTTATAAGCTCTGAATTCACATTTTAAAGCAGAAACTTTAGTGATACCAGCTTTTCCAAACCCTATCTGGACTCTTCGGTTGGGGTCCACAAACACTATGGGAGCATACAGACCAGTGTCCCTCTATCACTTTAATTTATCTGCACTAATAGCACTAACTTTGCCGGGGGAATTGGCGACTGAAGATGCTAAAAAATTAAATAACACTGCTACAAAACACTACAAGTTGCCAAGCATGCATTTTACTTTTTACTTAAAGCCAAAACCCTCATTGAGTGCTTGTCTCAGTGAAAACTACCTAATTTTGATGTGATAGGCAATTATTATTATTATTATTATTATTATTATTATTATTATTATTAAGATTGAAATCAATCCCAAATCTCTGCATTTAGTATGAAGCTAAATTC